GGTGAAATTGAGTTTGACACCCTTGATCTAGATGTTGCGAGTGTGAGACAGGTCTGTGTTTGTTTTGTATTGCGATGTTTTTGGCCGTAGCTCTCTCAAGTTGATTAATGTTTTTGCAGTCTCTTTCTTATTGCTGCATCATAAACGCTGAGCTTAACTGAAGCAAGCGAGGCCTGCAAAGCGTTAGATAGTGGTCTGAATTTCTTGGGGATCCTTTGAATAATTCATTAATGCATCCTTAAATTCATTTGGATCCCACTGTGGTTTGCTGGATCCCTGAAGCCTGAGAAATTGCTCTGTAACCTTTTTCCAGACCAATAATCATCAATGACTTTGTTTCTCATCTTTTTTTTGAATTTCTTTTGATTAAGGCTCCGTATGATCTGTTCATTTCTGAAGTTTCTAAGCCAACTTCCTGTTGTCAGATTAGGTTGACTTAAGTCATTTACATATTCTACAGATCAGGCTTAAATCAGGTGTGACAAATATAATTGAGCCAAAAACATGATTCCTAACAATTAATCAATGATTTAACATGGAAAGTATTTAATGGTAGGTTGGATGTTATTTTTCTTGTTTTTTTTTTTTTTTTTTCCTCTTCATACGTTAAATTTTGATGTGATTTTTTTTTTCCCTATTCATTCTATTCACTGAGACAAATTTAAACAAATTAAAAAATAAATAAAATGTTATTCATGTGGTTAAAGCGACACCAGTTCTCAGTGGCATAATCTCATGCTTTTGTAGCAACATCACGAATGGTGGCAAAGATTGCCAGAGTCTGGGTGAAAGGTCATAGAGAGACATTACTGAAGAAGTCATTTCTTCATCAGTTCAGTTGCTGCACAGCAAAAGCACTAGCAACATGTTCTGTCCCCCTCCCAAGTCATAGACAAGACTTGTTTTGTTACATAATGTGCCTTTTTGATGTATACCGAACGACAATGAGCTACTCATTGTGTAGCATATAGCATCAAAAAAGCTTGAGGACAAAAAACTGTCTGAATATTTTGAAGCAAGAAAGGTTTTCTTCTTTAGATTCTGTTTTTTTTTTTTTTTTGTAGGAACAGGCAAAAAAATAAAATTTTAACTTCTTCAGGTAAGTGAAGTTACCTGATGAATTTCAGGTAATAGCTAGGCTTTTGGGTCAGACTATATTATTACCAAAATGTATGCCTGTTTCAAATATGCTAATTTCTGCTGTAATCAGCGCTGCTCTTAAAAAACTCCAAAGAGTCGAGCAAACAGCAACTGTCTTAGTGTCTGAAAGACCACCCAGCAAATGACTTACCCGTACTCAACAAAAGCGCAAAAGTTTAGGAATAATGAGTTTTTCTATTTTCCCTGTGAGGACAAATTTACCAAGAAATGGAACAGGAAGACACTTTTTCCTGTAGATACATGTGTGTGAGAGAGATATTGATAGATATACACGCAGGAAGAAAGAGAGAGGAGGTGCAGTAGGCAGTAAGCCCCTGAGCAGGACATGATTGCAGTGTGTATCTTATCTGTGTCAGGTCCTCCTGAGGCTAGTGGAGCCTAGCTGAGCAGAGCACAAGCGCTTCAGTGACCAGTCAACCGTGTGAGGGTAATCTCCTCACTCCTTCACTCTCTATCTCTCTCTCCCATTCACTCTATCTTTCTCCATTTTCCCAGTAAGCCCCCCTGTGGGAGAAAGCTGAGCTGCACACACATACATGTTAGAGACTCACAGAAACAGACAAACGCATTTATCCACACACGCACACACACATGCATGGTGTCTCGCACACACACACACACACACACACACACACACATAGCCTAAAGGTGATTGCATCCAGCCAGCTCTGTATGTGGAGCCTACAGGTGAGAGCAGACATCATGGGCTAGATTACACAGGGAAGACCCTGTAGCCAGCAGAACGGAGGTGTCATCAGTCTAACTCTGCTCAAACTGTACTTTAAGAAGTTTTACAGTTTGACAACAGATAACATCTTTAAGACAGCTGATGAAGTAAGTAAATGTGCTGAGCAAATAGATAAGGTTGTATTTGTTAAATTTAATTATGTCAATGTACATCTATGTACGGATTTACTGGCGCACCAGAAGCGAGGTTCAGCTCAGAACGTTTGCATGTAAATAAAACGCAATTAGCTGCCTTTAAATATATGTAATTAACTAATCAAAAACGAGCGTGTTAAAGTTCTGGCCCTTGAAGCAGTTCGTTCGTCTCTGCCTTTCTTTCATCCTTCACGCGCCTGTCCGCTCGGCTTTAACAACTCAGCCGTCCCAATCAATTAGCCGACATGCTGGACTTTCATTGAGATTAAGTGACTAATATCAGTGCTCGCTCACGAGAAAGACACTTTTCACGTCTGCCCAACAATCTGCTAAGTCAAACCACATGTGGTAGGCTAAGGCATAAAGCCTGCAAGGGGTCCTCTCAGCAATGAAAAACAGGTGCTCTACTTTTTGGCCATGTAATACCCCATTTAGCCTCTGGAGCAAAGGTTATCCCGCTAATAGCTGCCTTGTGGTGCACTGGGAAGAGCTACACACATGGCCGTATTGAACATCTGGGACAGATTGTGCATACTTGCAACATATGCTTCAAGTTCAATTAAAATGAGGCCTTGGCACATTTATTAATCTTTTTCCCCTTCTCCTCGCTCTCTCTTTCGCTCCCTCTGCTCTTCGAGGTCTCTGCTATAGGTTTGCGCCATAAAAGAGGCCTCCTTTGACCCGTCCTTCATACTTACTCGTACCATCTGAAGCCGTGGCTCGCGTTCAGCGCAAAAGATAAGTTTGCCCAGCTCTGGAGCTGTTATTTGTTCTGCACTTAACCAGGTTGGAGGTTGAGCAAAGAGAAGTGAGAGAATGTGTCAAAAGGAAAAATAAAAAGCAGCCGAGGAGGTGAGTAAAGGAAGAGTCAGAGGAGAGCAGAGATGTATGCATAGGAAAAAAAAAAAGTAAAATGTCCCCCTTTCAACCTCTTTACAGCTTCAGTGAAATGCTAACAGTGAAGGGAAAAGATGGATCAAAATGTATGAAGCCAGAGTTGGTAAATTGTGGCTTTTGTGGCAGCTGTGCTATCCGGCCCCCCCAGCCCTCTGTGAACAGAGAGCAGGACTTTTTTTTTTTTTTTTATTTGGAATAATCAGTTTGGGACCAAATCTGACTGCAGCCACACAAGCTGCCTCTGCACCTCATTTCAATATAAAAGTGGGGGGGAAAAAAAACCCAACATTTTTTTCATATAATCTGTAGCTTTCCAAATGCCTATATTTTTTTAATTTCTAACCCTGAGAGGAGGGAGAAAATGCAATGAGGACAGATGTAAAGAAATGGTAAAAAAAAAAAAAAATGAAAAGGGTTCAAGGTTGTCTGGTTCATATCTTCTGTTTGTAGCTTCACTCGCTCCCCCTCCCGCACATCACAGCCTCTGAACTTCACAATCATGAAACTTTTCTTGTGCATCACCGTGGGAGAGGATGTAATTCTCACATATCTTTGTATGCTCATCACCAAACTGGCAGCCCGGCTGACTAACTAGTGGAATGACTGTTTGACCATCTGCACTGCATGTTTTACTCTTTTCTTCAGTGCTTCTGTTAGAAAAAAAAAAAAAAAAACACAGTCTTAGTAAAGTCTGTTTGCAGACTTACTGCTAAACGGTGGGATTAATTACACTATGCATGCTATTATGGAAGAATAAACTCAAAAAAGATTTCCAAAACAAATAATGTAAATTATATTGCACTTTACTTGCTAACCAGTAAAGTGCACTATGTTCTATGCCCTGCATCACACACATCTCTATAGGCAGCCATATTGGTGGTGGCAGAATAATGCTGCGGGAATCATCATCAGACAATCATCAGCAGCCGTAGGATGATGGCAGGGAGACTTTTCAACATGGAAGCACAATTACAATTTTGGAGCACTTTGTGTTTCTACACCACATCAAATCCCATTAAGCTGCACTGAAGCATGTTGCTGTAAAGTGACAAATGTGGAAAAAGTTCGAGGCACAAGCATTCTTTTGCAGAACCGTGTATCGTGTTTTCAATATTAGAAAAATAATTAACCGAGAGTTGGATCTTAGTAAACACTTTGATGCTTCTTTCATACTCTGATGGGGTAAATCTTATTGTAGTATCAGAAGAAAACAATTGTTTAAAATCAAATGAACAGAAATTCACACACAGAAAACACGAGTAAGTGTATACAACAACAGATTTTGGGGTGGGGGGGGGGGGAGGCGGGATACAACTCCCAAGTGGAGCATTTTTCAGGTCCTATCCAGTGGCATTTGTTTCAGTAGCTGCTCCTACAGTGTAACGAGCGGAGGCCGTAAAGCAGCCACCTGTTGTTACCTGATATTGTCTGGACAAGGACAGATGCTGTTTTACTGCAACATAAAGGCACAGAGAACGGACCTAAAAAGCTAACTAAGCACTTTAAATAGGTGCGTGTTCCCAGAAAGAAGGTTGTGAAGCTTAATGTTTTTAAATGCAAATTTAACACAGAAATGCAGGGAGGGAAAATCTAAGGAGAGCGCACCAACCACTTCAGGAGACCAAAATAAAACAAACTACAAAGTGGAAAGGTGAGGAATGAGACATGCATTTACCCAAAGAGAAAACTTAGAAAAGGTTAAAAGGTTGTACAATCTGTGAACATGTGTTTGTGCCTCAGGCGGTGAGAATAACTGAACAGGGGGAGGAGACGGGAGGGGATGAAGCAGTCATTTTGTTAGTCTGTATGTGTTTCTGGTCTGTGAAGCAGTGTCAACCTCTCCTGAGGCGATCTGTGTGTGTGCGTGTGTGGGCGTGCATGCGTGTGTGTGTGTGTGTGTGGGTGCTTCCCAGACATGAGAAATAATTACCTTGTCATCTTTGTCAAAATCCTCATCCTCATCTTCCAGCAGGTCCTCCACAGCTTGCTGACAGATGCAGTGGAATGAGAAAAACGAGGACAAAGAGGCATTAAAAACATTAGATAAATATCAGATAAACACAATCTCAATGGCCAAAGAGGGACATTAAAGCTGATTGGTTATGCTTACGTCTGCCTAGAATTTGCTAATGAGTATGGATAGCCTGCAGATAGCTCAACTACTGGATTTATGGGTGCTAAAAAGTCATCAGTCTTCAGAAGTAGAAATTTAATTTTAGAACCATTCTGTTGTTCAAACATGTTGTCACTTCTGGAAGTGCAAGCGAATGCTCTGACTTTGAATTTCAAAGGACAGAAGATTAAAGTCTATTCAACTACATAAATTACATTGCAAAAATAAAAAATAAAAATAAAATAAAATTCAGATGACACAACATTCTTGCTGGGAGGGGACACAAAAAAAAAAAAGCGTCTGCTGAACTCCTTAACCTTTCCGCAAACTCCACCTCTACTTTCAGTACGTCGACCTACTTCACTGCTTTCATGTTCTTGCAAAAAAGATGCTCTGCGAGAGAAAAAAGAGGGGAACGAGTCCTGAGCCCAGAGAGAAAGTCACAAAGAACGGCAACTATTTGCTTCAGTGAAGCACGACCGATAAAACCGGAGCCGGTGTCGCTCTGAAGCCCCAAGACACCACGAGACACTCTGTACAACAAGAAGAAAAATTACTCGCCTTAAAACACAATCACATTTGCACACTTTCAGAACAGCAAACGCTGTGTAGCACAACACAGCTGCTTAATAATAAAAAGTTATTAAGCAGCAGAAGTTTTACGTTCACATCAAGAGGCATTCAAATGAACAAAATTCTGACTTTAATATCTATACTAGATTTTGGATATACAAAGCATAACAACAGACGTATCAGTAAAATGTTTGGTGAAGGAAAGCACGTAATTTTTAGCTTGACTGACTCGTGACTTGTGCTTAGAAGCTAAAAAAAAATCCAGTTTCTTTGTGATCTGTGAACGCACCATGAGTAAGAACAGCCAGGTTTCTGAAGCTACAACATCCTTTGACGAGTAAGTTGTTGCTGATGAAAACAAAATCCTGAAAGCCGGCTATTTTCAATACCAATAAGAACGGTAAAAAAAAAAAAAAAAAAAAAAAATGGCCTAATTTTTACTTTGCGTTTTCAGCAAAGCTATGTTGGCTTTTCCATAAAGCTAACACAACAGCTATACTTTGGAGGCTGCACCTCACGTCATTTCGCTCCTGTTATTTTTCTAGTTTTGTTCATTTCGCACCTGATTTTTCCGGAAACAAAACGGAGAGGTCTGCCACAGGATGTAGATTCATACTCCGCCCTGGGGCATTTTGACAATTAGTGTTCAATGACACAGACGAGGCCTACTTGTCTTTGTGGGCATTCTTAATTTCAGCGTCTGAAAAGCATGGGTCACTGCTGAACTTTATTCACCCTCTTTCTGTCAGTCAAACATCGCAGCTACGAGGCCACACTCTTGCTTCAAATGTACATCAGCAAACACTGATATTATGAGTCAAACACAGTGGTCAACCCCAGAATTTATCTGCTCTCTGCCAAGCGTTGTATTACGGAGTCCCAAACTCCCTGTAAACTTTCATCAGGCCCCGACTTCACCACAACCCTTCCCACCTCCAGATACAGCACAAACTACTTTGGAGTCATCCAAAAATCATTACTTAACAAGACAATGGCCTTTGTCCTTTTTGTTTTTCACTGGAATACGGGGGGAAACTGTGCAGCGGCTGACATAAGCCTCTTATGTAAATGCAGCTTCCCACACAAACAAAGAGGAGTTCAGAACAGCAGAGTTGAAAGGGTAGAATCAATAGCGTGAGTGTTTGTGAGTGTGTTCTATCAATAGCTCTGAATCACTTGGGTAAAGAGTTGTGCATGTATGAACAAAACTCCACATTTTTCACTGACAAGAGGAGGAAGTGGTTACTCCGGCTGTGAACTCCATCATCCTCCAGACAAATAAGCACAAACTGTTCACATTTGACAGTCTCTTTATTGACACAGAATACACCCGAGCACCACATTATCCCAACACCAGAAAGAGAAATTCTTGCACTCAGCAAAGACGAAAGATGTTTACACAAGTCCGTAAAATGAAAGCCTCGTGGCATTTCCAAACAAATGAACTATAACTGTTTAAAAAGACATCACAATTCCCCTCGAATCTATTCACGCATGCCAGCACGGCGGCATTATAGAGTCCTCCAACACAGAGGGTTTTACCAGGGCACGCCTGGCACATGTTCCGAACTTTAAACAAAGGAATAAGCGTGAGCTAGCTGGAGAAGCATGACCTACAGAGACAGGGAGAATGATAGAGTCGTTTGTCTCCCTCTGCTCTCTGCTCCGCTCGCTCCCTTCTATTGCCTCTGGTTACAGATAGAAGTCATGCTTCCTGCAATGAGACACAGTGTAAAATTAATAAATAAAGCGACACGGAGCATGTCATCTGCCCTGAAGATTGCCACGGCTAAACGCGCGCACTGGAGTTTCAGTGAGGGAGGATATAAATTACCACTGCTGATGAATTTCAAATATCTTTTATTCATTCTTTGAATTCCTCTCTTCTTGTCTGCTTCCTTTCGTCTTTTTAAGATCTATTTGCTGTTTTTTTTTTTTTTTTTTTTTTTTTTCGCCTGCTTTTCCCTCCATTATAATTTTGTTTGAATAACTATCATTACGCTGCGCTGGCATCCAAAAGCCTCACTGTCGACGGGATCGCGTTGCCCGCAGAGCTGCTCCAGTCAGTTCAACATATACCAAGCCGAAGATTACCATATTCAGACCAATAGAAATAATACAAGGATGATGCCGGGTATTACACTGTGCCCCATAAACACATAGATTAGAGGCTGATAATGTAAGTGAATACAGTGACATTGAGAATTTTAATGGCTCTGAATGTGTAAATGTTTCTATTTGGCCCAGGTTTAGAGCCAAGAAGCTGGGTTGGAGTAGAAGCCATGCAGCACGACAAGGACTGTTTTCAGTCATTGCATCTCCTATTACGTCTGCTCACTGGAAAAAAAATATGTACCTCTAATACCTCTAATGCATGTGTGTTTGTATGTGCATAATCTTAGTTATAGTAGAAAACTTGTTATAGCAGAAAGAAAAATCGAAGACACACCACAGCAAAACCTTGTGTACATAAGCATTAACTGTAAATTACAAGATTTGGTTGTGAATAAGCAGTGCAAAAAAATAATAATAATTTCAGCAGCTGCCTTTTAGGTACCTGCTTGCATGCCATCAACAGTGCAACAGCACCCCTAGTGTGTTGTTATGGACAGAGACGATGGGCTCAAGGTTGCAGAGGGCTATCACTGTCCTTTTGTGACTGGAGAACACATGACTCAACAGTGCTTACTGTATGTCGAAGTTTTTCCACACACTGGAGCTTAGTAACAATAAAGTTCAGTGTGTTTTAATAAGACAACGATGAAAAATGATAAAAGATTTAAAAATTGTGTGGCATGCATTCATAATCAGCCCCACACCGTCGATACTTTAGAGAACCACCCTTCTCTGTAATTGCAGCTGCAGTTCTTTCAGAGTATGTCTCTATCAACTTTTCACATCTTGAAATTTTCTTTTTACCTTTTCTTCTTTGCAAAATAGCTTGAGAGGTCATACTGCCTGGGGACAGTTTGTGAATATTAGTTTTCAAGTCTTTGCACATATTCTCAGTCTAATTTAGGTTAGGACTTTGACACATGCATATGGTTTGGTTTAACCAATCCTCTGGCTGTATGTTCAGTATAACTGCTCTGCTGACCAGTGCACCTCCATCCCATTCCTAATTAGTTTTTTTTTTTTTTTTTTTTTTGCAACAGGATTTTTTCCTAGGATTGTCTGAAATTTCAGCCCACACATCTTCCCCTCCACTTTGACCTGATTCATTGCTGAAGAGAGGCTTTCTTGCCATCCTCATGATGGATTGAACAGTACATCATGGCATGTTCAATGCTTGTGAAGTCACTTTATTAGCTAACCCTGCTTTCAGATTCTCCTCTGAACTGTCTGCTGTGCTCCATAATCTTCGTAAAGCTATTTCTTCACTAAACTTCTGTAACCAACCTCTGATGCCCGTCAGAACATCTGTACTCATTCAGGAAATACACAACACACACAAGTTGACACTGTTTACTCATCCAGTAATAACAACTATTGACAACAAGCAAACTAGATTTTATTGGGAGGTATCAGAGTAAAGGTGGCTGAACAAAACTGCACGACACACTTTTCAGATCTGTATGTGTAGAAACATTAAATCCCAATAAAATACATTGAAATTTGTTGTGCTACATGACAGAGGGGGGGTATGGGTATTTTTGCAGGTCACCGCTCATCTGAATAATACTAGCCACATTTTTTTTTTCATGTCATAGCCCTGTGTGGACTTACACATAAGTTAAAAGACACTCGGTGAAGAAAAACAACTGCGATTTCAGTAAATCAATTTCCTTGAATCTAAACTGAGCATAACCTGTTTGGATCAATGAACCAAGTGGTTACAGCAGCTCAGGAAAAGGGAAAGTAAAATTGTACAACCTGAACTAGTAGCAACATCATTTTCACCCTTGCTCAGGAACACCTCCGAGCACGCATCTCGTTCTCCTCCCCGGCCAGACGGAGTTCCACTCCTTCCCCTCCTCACCTTCTCAATGACAGCCGCAGGGGGAATTGACGCGGAGGCAGACATCCAGGTGAACACGAAGATATACTTTTTCCCTTCTTTTTTTTTTTCTCCCATTCCTATATCCCTCCTTCCTTCCGTCCTCCTGCTGTTTTTCCTCTTTGATATGTAGGGGGGTTTTAACCTCTCCAGCTGCTGAGGCTTGGCGTGGTGGCTGGCTGGGGGATCTCAAGGCCCTGCTTGGTATGCACTGTCCATGAGTGTGTGTGTGTGTATGCGTGCGTGCACGTGTGCATTGCCTACACTACAGTTTCTGCAGACTAGCGGAGGGCTGTGCGTCTGA